TAGTGTGCGCTTTTTACGCTGTTCGCTGGCTTGAATGTTGGCAAGCCTAAATAGGTTTTGATTGTATACAGCGCCACCACTTGCTGTACCCAGCTCCATGTGTCCAGCATACTTTGTAAATACATTTGTTGATGTACATGTGCATTTCTATACGAGATGCGCCTCTAATAGAACAAATACAGTGTGTCGTTTTTTTTGTGTCCATTCAACCATGGTGGAAATCTCTGAATAAATAATCCTGGCGTGCCAACCCCCAAAATTCATGTTTCACCTTCCATAGACATTATATTCCGGTACATTATCGCTAAACTTGTACAAACAATGCAGTCGCCAGGGATGAAAACTGGACCCACTATTTGATTTATACTGACTATTTACATGTCTTATAGTACGTACACATTCTAGAGGTGTATATTTGTGTTCTCCCTGTTAGCATATTTACACTGCATTGAGCCTGTATTATGTATATGCATGCCACTGTTGAACCAATAGAATCAGACAAAACATCAAAGTAGCTTGAAATTTTCGGTGGTGTAAAGTACAAACCGCAGAAATCAAAACCTGTATTAGATATCTGGGTCGGGTAAAAGGTATAGAATGAAAAATGGGTGTGGCCCTTTGGATGTTTTTTTCTTATTCTGTATATGCCTATTCCTGACCTTTTGCCCCAGTGCTGTAGCAAGGATTTACTGTTCTATATTATAGTGTCTGCCATTGTTAGATGTTTCAAGCAATAGTACTTATAGGAGACATACTTTTGTCGCCTTTATTTCCCAAAACAGTTGATCCAGACTTTTGCCAATAGAAAATTGTATGTCCATTTGATACAAAATAATACATAAAATTAGAGAAAAAAATATGTAAAAAGTTTTTTTGATGGTAAAAATCACCTTGTTCAAAGGTCTGATCTCAATGCACCCATGAAGTCCTTAGATTATATGTAGAGCCTGCTGCAGACTGTTGATTTTTTTTCTTTTTATTTTGCATATTAACAAATTATTTTTTACCAAATGTCTTTAAATGTGTACAGATTGTATTATAATTTGATTAAGTATGTGAAATGTATTATCTCAGATTTTGTTGTCAGTTTCATTTTCTTAGAAAGAATACTGGTTGTGACAATTGAAGGTCATTTGGGGTTAGCAGAATATAGTGTAGTTGGTCAATGGGTCAAACAAAATGTCATTCAGGGTCACCGTAATATATTGTATTTAGTCAATATATTGTTGAGATGTAAATGTATTCAGTAAATGTACGAATACAAGTATGCATTGGTGGTATATTCTTCTGTTTAACTGCATGCATTGAAGGGAGGTATTAATCCTAAACTGCATACTGTGTAAAACCATTGAATTTCACTAATTTGATATTTTGAGCATATTTGCTTTGTTTTAATTTCACGAATTTGTCAAGGAAAGTTTTCTTATTTTACACATTCACATGGATTTAATTTAGCAGATTTTATTTATCAGTGAAAATACCGAGTGAGTATTTAATGCATTAACACAGTATATTTCGGTACTCCATACTTGACAGTCTTTTGTACTGAGGTTTATGTAAATTTTCTGTTCTTGGTGGCAATTTGAATTTGAACAAAAACCAATAGTATTACCGTCAAATTGTACGAACTTTGCAGCCTCATTACCCACTTACTTCACGGTGGGAAAACTCTTTATACCACAGGCAGAGAACATTGTACTGGATAAATAACTACGGTACACAGTTCACAGCAAGCAATTCGAAATGGCGTCATTATTGGGTTGTCTTTGTGCGTAACATTATTATATTGCACGTATAATCGCAGCAGTGTTCCATGGCTACTATAGTTTTGTTGCGTTTAAATTATTATCGCTGACAGGCATAGAATTTCAGAACACTTAAAGGTCAGCTACTGCTGCTCTCGGGAAATACGTTGTTGTCTACGACATTGCTGCGTGGTAGTCTGATGGGCCACAAGTTTTAAAAACTGGTAGTCCCTTAGTAATATTTGGTCCATCTGATTTTTAACATTCTTAGAACCATGCAGTAAAGTGTGAATTATAAAAATAAAAAACTTGTTGTTTTGCTCTATTTGTGTGGGACATCCGCAGTTTTAAAGACTAAGTGTTTTATTTCAAAAACAGAGTACCGTAAAATCTATATTAGAAATTGCATCCCTAATAGAAGTCTCACTCATTCCTTTTGAATAATCGAGAGCCAAAAATTCAACATTTCTCATATGTGTAGATGCTCTAATAGAAACCGCATCCCCTGTGTTGCATTGTACCATTCTAGTGAATTAGTAAATTTCCCTTTTAAAATTAAAAGATTTTTCCCATGATGCATTGCATACACATGCTGTAACATGGAGTGCCTATTGAGCTGGTGAGCACGAGTAGGGTAGTCTTGTTAAACTGTTCAGGAGAGTCTCAACAACTAGCCCAAAGTACCGGTACATTTTCCTGATCAGCTATTGGTTGCCAGGCGGTGAAAATGCTTGTATGTGCCCCTTCCCCCAATAAACCAAGTGGAATTCTCATGTACTGCACTGGTTTATAATGGGGTCCACACCCATCCTGCTATTGTGTGTGCGTTCAGCTAGCATTATAGCTGTCAGCATGGCGTGAGAAGTTTATCGTTACAGTTTGTTGTCTCCATTGTTTGTATATTAGCCATTATCCACACATGATCTGGTTCTGTAAGCACTAAGGTACATTGGTTGGATTTTTATATTGGCATTGGTTGTAACTATGATAATATTGTTTGAATTCATCATGGTATGAATGATGTACATGTTCTTAGTTTAACATTGTTTAAATGTGCAATCCTGTTGGAAGGGATACGATAACATGTACTGTGGAATACTTTATTTTCGCTGGATTCAATTTTCGCTGAAAAGGCTTTTTGGGCGTTTTGCTTGGAATTTATTTTCACTTTTTGATGAGTTTAATGTGAAATATAGGAAAAAAAGTATATTCGCTGGATTTTATTTTCACGGAATCATCCCTTCAGTGAAAATAGCGAAAATAAATTCCAAGCGAAAATAAAGTATTCTACAGTATATACATGCATGCATTTGCTCTATTAATAGGTCAGTAAAAGTCAGTAGTGTGTGACACAGTGTGTCTGGTCAAAAGAAGTAATATTTGAACAATCGAGCAGGGTTTCAGTTGGCTTAAAATTAACTTATTACTAACATATATCATAACCCATATCTAATTATTCATCTAATTATTCGCAATGCTGTTACTGATAGGTATAAAGCAATAAATTTAACAAAAAACACTTTATCTGAAATGATTGAGTAAACTTTTAAATAATCGCAGCAAATTACTGATATTCGGTGAGCATCTGAATCACTGTGATCCAGTATATGTGTACTACTGAAGATGCGCTTGTAATATGGTAACTGTAGTTCACATAGCGACTTGCAGTGCGCCCTCTAGCAGAACTGAATTTGTAGTGATCATGAGCCAAATAGGATACTGTAAATCAAGTTTGGACAGCTTGTTTACTGCGCAGGAGTTACGTTTTCAAGAAAAATTATGTAGGCAACTTGTTAAAGTACAAACAAAAAAAAGTAAGAGACTACTAGTAGCTTTCCTGAACTAGTTAAACTTATGGTAGTAACATTTATAGTCGCAGTGAAAATTTCCCGTGGGTCATAAATCATTAAGTACAGAGGAATTTATTCTTCGTTTCTTTTTGCCACTAACTCTCTTATACTGCAATGAAAGTCTAACACGCAAAATAAATCAATATTTTACTCAGCTGTGCTCGCTAGGCAGGTATTTCCTGCTACGTATAAAATTCACCTGCAACATATGACATCCCAAGGGGAGAGTGTATAATCCACCCATTTACAATGTGTAATCTGCCGTGTAATTGTCAAGTTATAAAACCAGAAGCGCATGGCCATGTTTGTATAAAGTCAATGGCGTCAATCCCGGGGGATAACAGTGTTAAATTGTTTGACACCATTGTCTAGTATATTTAAAGGGCGATGGTCGTCGCACCGTGCATGCGCGAGATATTTGTCTCATATAAACAAATATGGCTATTTTGACTTTTGCGCACACAAGCGAGTACAAACTGAGAGGTTACCAAGCTTTAATTTGATATTTTTATTGGTGATTGGAAGGTATTGAAGAAGTCGCTGGTAGTAATTAGTGCAAGTGACGCCCAGGACCAAACTTGTACTTGTGATTTCATGAGAAAAGTGCACTGGATTGTGGGAAAATCAATGTTTACACAAATGTCTACCGCGCTTTAATTTGCCATTGTTTTACCTTTTTGAAATGTTAACAGTAAATGTCATTTTTTGGTTGGAATTTTCATTACGAGGGTACATGTACATTGTAAAAGGTACAATCTAACCATGCTTTGACAGATTATCAAATACACTCATAAAATAGGGTTTCATATATACATGTATACTTTTCAGTTATGTTCCATGTACAAGTATTTATTTCAATACAATGTAACAATTGTTTTGAAGAAGATTCAAAGAATCAAGCTCCCTTTCATTTTCACTAACTCTGATAAGTCCAAAGATTCAAGATCCAGAGATGATTCTTAGATATGCAAATAAAACATTTTCAGTATTTGCGAAGACCAAGTCCACTGGTTGATGTTCATACGTCAGTGGATGTGATTGGGCATAGTTGAATACTTTTGAAATTACCATAATGCCATTATAATAGGTACATGTAGATAGACATGCTTGCCAATCAATTATCATAGAAATTATTATTTTTTGGGCTGTACATGTATGCCCCCTCAGTGCTTGCATTTGAACTTTACTTAAACCTTAAGTTGAGAGTAAAAACAGGTGACATTCATTATCGGGAACTGTCACTTGGCACAAAAACAGAATTTGAAAATTTTGCCCCTGATTTCTTAAGAACATGTAGTACAGTGTACATGTTTGTCAAAATGAGTTTTTTGTGGGTGATAAAACTCATTTATGTGTTACTTGATGACATTGTTTATTTTGACCAACATTTCTTGTTTGATTTCAGGATTCACAAGATGAGACGTCTGAAACCAAGAGTACTGCTATGCCGCAGCCTAACTGGTTTTGTCATGTGTGTCAGATTCGCTGTATGGATCTTAAAGTAAGTTTGCATTGCACTCTTAGAACACCAAAATACATGTATATTGTATTCTTTAATGTAGATTTGTATTCTTTAAGCATCAACCAATTATTACTATTAGTTGAGTGATTTTAGCGTCTTGAATCAGTCTTCTTCATTGGAGACGTTTTACTCTCAATTCCGAGGTACGACAAGGTATTTCCTAAAAAATACTGTAAATTGCTTTAAATTTTCATGAATTTTGTGAGTCTGGGGGAAAATAGTAGTAGCAGTGCAGATTGACGACACAGAGAAACATTCGCGAAATTCACATGCTATATGATCATCGAATCGCAAGAATCCCTAGCAGGGAAAGTTAAAGCGCACTGGTCATCGCGCAGCGTGTGTTCGAATTTCATGTACAGTAGAACCTGTCAAAACCGACCATGACTGGGACTGGGATCTATGGTCGGTTTTCAGAGGGAGTCGGTTTATTCAGGGTGGGCGAAACTTCTATTGAAACAACAATTACATGTGCTTTAAACACGAGACAAATGAAAGACACTGCAGTTTGCCTCTGGTGATTATACATTTGTACATGTACATGTATTTACATTTATTGTATTGTTTCAATAAAATAATTTACCACACAAGACAAGAATATTATGGTATGTACATGAAATCAATAAACATTAAAATAACTGTTGGAACAAACCGGGTAATTATCGCATTTCGTAACTGAAGGCGTCCATTTTGAATGACATCAGAACGTAAGTTTACGTGAGCTACATGTAATTATCATAATTTATGCAGATGTAAAAAAAAACATCAAGTTTTGACTGCTTTAAAGAACATCTTTTTTCAACGATTTTGTTCGTTCGAATTATGAAATTTTGGTTATCTGTACAGTAGCTGGAGTCTTTGTTTATTGCGAAGTTTTGTAATCTTGTCAAAATGTCTAGCACATCGCCATGCGTCAAGTCATGGTCGTCGTGGGGGTCAATAATTTGACTGTCGTTGTCATCATTGTCTGTAGATTCATGGTTTTCTTTGTCTGCAATAAAATTCTCAACAATCTGTTGCTCCCACTCGCCGTCATACGTTGCTTCAGTCGGTATACGTTCATCAAAGTTGAGGTATTCATCAACGCTACAC